AAGTTATAATACCCTTGTGCACAAGTGCGCTCGGGTATAAAAATGAAAGTAGTAGATTATTCTAGTATAATATAATATATCTTAGACAGTGGCGTCAACAATGGTTGCTTTGTTTAATTTTTGGATTGTTTTAATCAAAACTATCAATAGTGTCTACATTTTCGAGAGTATCGATACTATCGATGGCTGTGACTATCGACTACCGATGGGCACGACCAAAAGTAATATTTTAAAGTATCGAAAAATTATTTTATAATTTTTGTCCCTTAACTAAACTAATTCTCCAAAGTAAAAAAAGAGTTTTCCCTTTTAGATATCAGCTGTTAAAGTTGATATTTCTACAAAAAGTTCACATATTTTTTTTTTTCGTAGTCTGTATTCTTGTAGTTCGAATTGCAATAAGTCTTTGAGTGATAAAGGTACTTCAAAAAAGATAATGCATATGAATAACGAGGGTAATATTTGTGTGATTAAGAAAAAAGAAAAGTACCATATAGTATGCTAAATAAAATAAAATTAGTTTTCGAAAAAAATTTTCAATTTGCAGTTTTTTGGCTGGAAATAATGTTACAATTTCTTGTACTTTTTGAATAATCGGCTTTTTTCTTAGGAAACTTCTACAGGTATTTTGCCGTGCTTTTCGATATTTGATTAGCTAAGATTAAAACAAAACACCGTTTTAAACTTTTTGTTGCAAAATATTATTAAAGGGGAGCTTCCAGAAGACTATCGCACCTACTTAAAGGAAATAGCAAGAATGATATGTTATGCAAGAGCATAGGTGAAAAATGCATTTTTGATTTTTTGTTGTTAACTTGTACGATTCGTTATACTTTTTTTTAATTTTATGCCTAATCTCGTTATTAGCAGTGATGGGTTTACACTTAGATATTTACCGAACGCTGGTTATTTACCCATTAAGTGATACTCAGTGAATAAAATTTGCATCTAAAACTCTAAAATTTTCATGAAGCTTATGTTTAAGAGGGAGTTCATACAAACAGCCGAGTGGCGCCGAGTAAAGCAAGGCGGAACAAAGCAAAGCAGCTGGTTTTCACACTGCACGAAGCGAAGCGGAGCTTTTCTCACAGACACTGATGCAAAGATAACACAAAACTTACCGTCAATTCAAAGATTCGTTGTAAAATTCGTTTCTATTTGAACATTTTGATATCTCGTTTGCAGCAGCGTTATGAAACATAAAAATGAAATAGTAAAATTCAAAATCAAAAACTGCTTTGCTTTCAGCTCCAAAACGCTTATGAAAAAGCTTTCTGTATGAACAGTTTCATATAGCTACGGAAATTTGAAAGCTTCACTCAGCTCGGATCGGATTCTATGTGAACGTACCCTAATTAAGTAGACGAGTCAGAATAGTCGGTACATTTGTAAAATATAGCCAGAAGATATCAAAAGTAAAATTGAACCTGAGTTACAACTTCGATGTTGAATGATGCCGAAAAAATAGAGCGTACAATAATATTTGATACCTGTTTCAAAAAAACCATAAAACCGATACATTAAGCTGCAAATTTGTTAGACAAGGAAGTAAGCTTGGTTGGTTTATAGAGAAAGACTGATTAGAATTCGGTCAAGAAATTA